TTTTTTGAGGCAGAGTCTTGCTCTGTCACGCAGACTGGAGTGCAATGGCGTGTGCAATATCAGCTCACTACAACCTCTGCCTTCCTGGTTAAAGCAATTCTCCTATCTCAGCCTCCCAAGTTAGCTGGGATTACAGGCACCTGCTACCACACCTGGCTAATTTTTTGTATTTTTAGTAGAGATGGTGTTTCACCATGTTGGTCAGGCTGGTCTCAATCTCCTGACCTCAGGTGATCCACCCACCTTGGCCTCCCAGAGTGCTGGATTACAGATGCAAGCCACTTCGACAGCCAAAGATAGGGTCACGTTATGGTGGTCAGGCTGGTCTTGAACTCCTCACCTCAAGTGACCCTGTGAATACAGGAATGAGCCACTGCATCCAGCCTAGAAAAGCTTCCCTTTTAGCACTATCTGCTCAGGAAGAGGGGTTACATAAAAATAAAACTAAGCAAAAATAGTCACGAAAGAAACTGAGTAACTTGCAAAAGTTTAATTGCCTTAAAAATGTGTTTCCCTTCAAAGTTTTGATTAAGTAGAAACTTAAGTAATGTGCACAAAAGCATAGATGATTATGGCTGTTCGCTTCCCTTACAGTTCCACATGTATCTCAAAGACAACCCAAATTGTTAAAAACAGCTATCTTAATCAAACTTTATAAGATAAAATTATATAGCAAATAGTTTCTAATAATTTTAGATGCTGTGGCATCTTGATGTATCCTGAGGAATCTGATATACAGCTTTGACTTCAAAATATGTATCACATAAAATGCAAAACCTTTATTAATTGTCTATTCTATTGTCCTTTTCTTTGCTGAGATTGTTGTCAGGTGACACTGGCACCCAACTCAACCTTGATCACTTTCTACTTGAACTAAATAACAAAATCAATCAGAATCCAAAAGTGTATAAACATGTTTAAGATCACATCTGTGCCAGTCCACTTCCAACCTGAGAAAAAATAATCAGATCTTGAGAGCACTCTGCCTTGGGAGGCAGGGATGCAGACAGATAGTTGGGGAAAGGTAATTGGTATCATTCCTTCTTTCTTTTTTCATTATGCCTATTGAATGGTCTCTTTTATTTTTTATATGCCTGAAATTCAGAGTGATTAGCTTTTTTTTGTATAAAATATTTCTCCAATACTAATTTCTCCATTTAAACCAGGGTAGAACAAAAAGGAAAAAAAAAAAAAACTAAGGGTAGAACACCACCATTTTTATTGATTAGAATAGATACAAAACAAATAATGCTTGAAGAAAGTGGTCTTAGACCCCATAGTAAGTTTTCTTCACGATATGAGGTGATGAATACAAAACATACTTGTTAAATTTACAGAACAGAGAGAAATAATATCTTGGTAAGGGGAGGTAGAAATTGTAGAGAAATATGAATACTCTTTCATAGTATTTTTAGCTTTTTGACTAAGAAAGCTAGTATTTTAGACTAAAAATTTTAGTATTTTAGCTTTTTCACTCTACAATTTGTGTTAAAATTTTGATTTTTGGAAGCATAATCTTTAAGGATTTTGAAAAATGAACATATATACAAGAAATAATACACACATGCCTAAAATTAATATTCAAATCACATATACAATGTTTGTTTTTAAAATCCTAAATATTTACTGTCACTATTTTGATTCCTAAGAACCACCACATTTATGTTAAACTTCACATATGATACCAATAAATGATATAGAATTGAAATACCCATTGCTATTAACATTTTCTCATTTATTTTCCAGAACATTTGTTTTTGTTTTATATCCTTACCTTCTGTCTGGAAGAAAGTAGATTTTAACATAAGGATTCCTTGGCCTCCCATCTTCCCTGGAAGGGAGATCCTTCGCTCCCAAAATTGTAACTATTAATTGGTGACCAACCTTGTCAAACCATAGTTTTATCTGAAAACCAAATATATTCATTTATCAATTCAAACATTTATTACACAAACACAATGTTTACTTTTCCAATCTTCACCCCATTCTCTTAGAGTAACATTAGCACAGAATATAAATTTTACTTAGTAAATTGTAGCTAGTTAAAATAAAAGGATATACTATAATAACTTCAATGAATAAAAGAATGATTCAGACATTTCAGTTTGACTGATAAAGCATGTGGACTTTTTATTATCTTAATCTGCACATAATTACATTATCATAATTAAGGACTTTATATACAATGACTACTCTGTATCTTTACCTATGCAAGAATCACCAGTTCATTTTGGTTCCTCTACGATACCGAATTCAGAATAAGTGCTCAAAATGAACTGAGTAGATAGTATCCTGCTTATATAACATTCATAGGGAATTTTCAAGTAAATGTTTTATGTTATTTCACAGTTAAAAACATTTAAAATATTATAAGCAAAAGGGATTTACTAGTAGCTTTAGTCAATAGATTCTTTCAGTTGGAACTTGAAACGATAATGAATTCATGTTTAAAAATTGTCCTTATTCAGACAGAAAGTCTCATTCTTTTGTGAAGCCTATGAATAACATCCTTAGAATAATAAAAGTACATTTTATTTTTTGAGATAAGAAAATGAGAATAATTTCTCTGTGCCATAATTAGGGAAGGGAACTTCACATCCAGCTGCTGAATTCACTTGATTTAACAGTTATCACCTCCCACACACATACCTCACACCTGCACACCTAGCTAGCTGATTCTACTATGTCAATATCTATGATAAGTATGGCTCTGATCCACATCTTGGCCCAGAACTCAGCACATCTCTAACCACTGTATTGAAACTGAAATGGAACCAGAAATTTGGAACTTGAAAATAATAAGTAAAAATCAGAGCTGGTTATACATGAAACACTGGCAGTTCAGTTCCAATTCCAACATGGCTTTGTTGAGTCCCTCACTTCATATCCTAGGGAATGAGACACTGAGTTACTTTTGAGTCAGAAAAGGTAAACTGACAGCCCAAAAAAGTATATAAAATTATTTATATCATTTTTTCTTTGCCAAATGGAATCAACCCTTTTATAGAAATAAGAGTAAGAAATATCCAAATTTGGCCGGGCGCGGTGGCTCACGCCTGTAATCCCAGCACTTTGGGAGGCCGAGGTGGGTGGATCACGAGGTCAAGAGATCTAGACCATCCTGGTCAACACGGTGAAACCCCGTCTCTACTAAAAATACAAAAAATTAGTTGGGCATGGTGGCACGTGCCTGTAATCCCAGCTTCTAAGAAGGCTGAAGCAGGAGAATTGCCTGAACCCAGGAGGCAGAGGTTGCGGTGAGCCGAGATAGCGCCATTGCACTCCAGCCTGGGTAACAAGAGCGAAATTCCGTCTCAAAAAAAAAAAAAAAAAAAAAAAAAAAAAATTAAAAAAAAAAAAAAAAAAAAAAAAAAAAAAGAAATATCCAAATTTTTAAAATTATAGTTATTAGTTTTTATGTTGTCATTTTAATTAATGTAGGTATTATCTTGCTGTTGTATAACAAGAAGTTTTTCTAACAGAGTTGCTAAGTACAAAAACAGACCTTAGACAAATATTTCTCAAACTGTGGTTAATAAACCTGTGTCAGTACTATCTCACTTATTTATTAAAAAATTACAAATTCCTGGGGCCCACCTCTTACCTACTGAATCAGAATTTTAACAAGTCCTCTAGGTGATCCTCAAGTGCATTAAAATTTGAGAACCACTGCTTTAGATTAAGAGTACAACAACTTGAAGAAAAAAAGTCTCCAATATATGAACAGACAACAGTTCAAATACTTGCTTGTCTAATAATATTAGAACATAGATACAGATAAGAAAAGGGGGCATAAAAGAGACTATTCTTCTGGCAAAAGACATGAGGGGAAAACAACGAAAGAAAGAAATGCAGGAATGTTTAATTGTATATGAGATGAAAGAGGTGTTACAGGTAGTTTCATGGTTCTAAATGTGTGACCAAAACCCAACTGATTTCTATGGTATTCTCTATTTTCACCAGTCATAAAGAGTTTATGGCTTAATTTTTTTCTAAGACATTAAACAGCTTTCTCTGAGGATCAGGACATGACTATTAAGTACCTCAAAGAAAAAAAAAAAGATTCTGCAAGGTTAAAAAATTCCTTTGCAATAAATGTTACATTTAAGAAACAAAGAAATAATAATTTTTTTATTAAGAGACTAAGCTAAAAATTATCAGGGCAAATTATTGATTTCTGTGAGAACATTTTGAGGCATTAAACTAAGTATTTGCTGCCATCTCTACCAGCAATATTTTTGCTCCTTTAAAATCATTAAAACTAGCATTTGAGATATATACTTCAAAAGTCTGACAGAGAGTATTCTTTTCAGATTTCCTTATGCCATAGAAAATCAAAAATATTATCACTTACTAATATTATCCATTTCTTATACAGACAGTAAACATATGGTTTTCATATTTTTGCTATAATATTTTATAGTTTACTAAATTCTAAATTACAAATGTACAGATATTAAAATAATTTGGATAGCAAAAGGGCACATTTTAACTTTACTGATTACTTGGTCAAAATTATACCTTTTAATAGACTGTCTTAAACTGGGTATTTGATAATAGCTCTAATTTTTATTTATATTATGGGACTTGCATTGAAGTTTTTAATAGATATCCAGTTCACATAATCAAAACAGATTTTATTAGGTACATCACTTTATAACATTCTTAATTTCTTATCTGTGCTTTTTAAATAAGAGGTTAAAATATAGCTGTTGATCCCCCAAAATATAACAAACATATTTCACAATTCTGGTCCTGACATAGACCCTGTTTAGCCCCAATTTCATTAATAAAAATATTAGTATAATTTAAACTGTTTTAAAATAATTATCATTCCAGCTTTAGCATGTAACCATTTTTAATTTTCCTAGGACCTAAGCAGCATAGGTAAATATTTTCTACTGTATAATATTAACTAGAGTAATTTTTAAAATGTAAACAAAATAAGTATTACTCAGAAGCAACAAATTTAAAAAAAAAACATGCAGCAAAGCAAGGAAAGCATAATACTACTTTTAAAAAGCTATATTGACATTACTTTACCATATAAGGGTTTCCTAATGAAAAGAGGCAAACAACTTGTACCCAAGTATTACAGTAACATTAAATAAAATTGCAATGACAAAATATTAACAAAATAAATTCAATTTATTTTATTTGGATTGTAATTCTGTTCTTTCAAAGTAAAATACTTTCTAAAAACTGAACTTTATATATAATATGCATAAAATTCATATTTTAAATAAGGTACAAATTTATTTGCCAGTCTCCTCAAGGATTTATTACTTGGAAAATGCAAGAGAGTATAGATGTTAAGTGACATAATGAGCGATTTAAAGAGACAGTAACCTTAAAATAATAAAGGAAAATATCAATAGTATAAAATTAGCTATTTCTGTAAATGTTACATATATGAGTAGAATCTACATTAAATCTACTTTAAATGCCACTTTGACATCTATAAGGTTTAGCATTTAGTTTTTCATATAAAATCACTAACAAAGATTGTCTCTTTAAATTTTTAGTCAGTATTCTAATCTCCATGCAGAATTTTACAAGCTGGCTAATAAAATGATTTGAAAGTCAATATTATGGTTTGGAGCAACATACCAAAAAAAGTTTTCCTACTAACGCATTTTCCAAAAACATACAAATAAGGGTTAAAACACAACTTTAGTTTCTATCAGGCAGACAAGGCCTTTACCTGAACCCTAGGAACAAAAGGCGTTGTTCTTCTACTAAGGCTTTGGCTCTGGTAAGCAAAATTAAAGAAAAAAGCAATAAAACAAAACCAAAAAGGACAACACGCTGGAACTAAAAGACCAAAAGTAAAAACAAACACATACAACTATCCCTTAAATCCAATTTTTCCATGACAATATTTATCAAAAATAAGTACTTCATGTAATCAATAAATTTTGTCCAATGCCAAAATACATTACAAACTATACAAAATATTAGAATTTGTATAATCCAATTGTTCAATGTAGTTCACATAACAGGAATAAAGACAATATAAAATAACATATTTGGGCTCATATATTTTGAAGAATGATTATAAGCATAATCCAAGAATCAATAAATTTCAGATTTTATCCTTAAACACATTACATACAAAATAGGATACTGTAAAAAGGAGTTAGTTGAAAATGTGTTTCCAAGTTATTAGTGAAAAGCCATCTGTGAAAGTAATTGTGTGACTTCTCCAAAGTATGTCTAACCAAAGTCAAAAACTATTACTCAAATTAGCTTTAGAATTTCTTAAAAGGATAAACACATTAAAGTATGTGGAAACTTATTGAATTAGTTAATTCACACTTGATGAATCCATATCAGGTTCTGGTACTGAAACATCATCATTGGACATTTATTATGTACCACTCAATATAATATGTTTATTGCTAATCACACCTATTAATGACAATATCTTATTTCTTTCTTATATGGTTTGGAGCATATAAGAAAGTTTGTTAGTTTGTAATATTTCTCTTAGCCTTTATTGACAGTTTATTTTAAGTTTATAGCCTTATGGTATTTCCAATAACCTTATGAGATAGTGGCTTCTACCCCCAATTTGTAGATGAGGAAACAAAGAAAAGTGCTAAAAACACTTGCCCATACTCAAACAAAAAGCAAGATAGTGTAAAGGCAGAAAATAGAGCCCAGTTCTAATTAAATCTCTAAATCAGGTTCTCAGAATCAAATCAAATTTCCTTTCTCTTAGTGACTTTTGTTTTCATTTTGAAACAGTTTCCAAAAGACACCACAATAATCAGAATATTGCCTTTATTAGGCATTCCAACATTCCAACAGTTAAAACAGAACATAATCCGAGTTTGGGAATGGATTTCAAGGCATTTAATTCTGCTTTTATCACCGAGATTCCATCCCATTCCTCAGATTTCTAATGGATTTCTCTCTTGTCTACTTCAAAATCATAAACAGTTAAAGGCTTCTCTCTTTCCACTGCTAACTGGAAACAGATAATGTGTACTAAGAGGACTTTTGGCCAATTCAGTTGGCATTGAACAGACACAGTTTATTTAAGACATAAATCTAAAACCCAAAGGAAAGCAGACTTAAAAGCAGACTGTCATTCAATCATAAGTCATCCTTCTCTCTCTCTCAATCTCTCTCTCTCTCTTTCAAAACCAAGGCAGTTTCAAATCTAAGCTGTCTTCCTTTTTGTGTGCATATATTCCCAAAGGAAGAAATATTCAGATATGGAGTATGTTACTGATGTCTATCTGCATTACCACAGACTGTTATAATGCTTTAGCAAATGACAAAAGGGATACATGAAATTCATAAACTCAACACGCTGAAGAAGGGGACTAAACGAGGTACTTCAGAAATACATTTTATGTCCCCTGTCCTCCTACCTGTTTTGTTTTAGACCAAAAATATTAACGTTACAGAATACTTTTACAAGTAAATATTATGTAATAAAAGAAGAGTCACATAAAAAGAAATAATACTTTCAATTAAATTAATCCTTTAAAACATTTTTCTATGTTCTAAAATGAATTCATACATACATCTCATAGACTTCTGAATCAACCTTCTGAAACCTATGGCAATTTACACCTAATCTTCACCCATGAGTTTATATTTTAAATATGGTTCTAAAAATACATTTTTGTGTTGATATTTTTTAAATTAAGGTAAAATTCACAAAACATGCAACTGACTTTTTTTTTTTTTGAGATGGAGTCTCACTTTTGTTGCCCAGACTGGAGAGCAATGGCGAAATCTCTGCTCACTGCAACCTCCACCTTTCGTGTTCAAGTGTTTCTCCTGCCTCAGCCTCCTGAGTAGCTGGGATTACAGCCATGAGCCACCATGCCTAATTCTGTATTTTTAGTAGAGATGGGGTTTTTCCAAGTTGGTCAGGCTGGTTTGAACTCCCGACCTCAGGTGATCTGCCTGCCTCAGCCTCCCAAAGTGCTGGAATTACAGTCATGAGCCACCTCGCCCAGCCACAACTGACTATTTTAAAGTGCACAATTCAGTGACAATTACTGTGTTTAGAATTCTGTGGATTCACCACCTCCTTCCAGTTTCAAAACATTTTTATCACTCCCAGAACACTCTATACTTTACATAATCACTCCCTATTTTTCCATCTCGCTGTCCACTGGTAACCAGCTTTCTGTCTCTATGGATATTTCAGATAGGGATGGCAAACTACTATGTGCCTCACTGTAATTTGTAATTACTATTAATTCATTTATATTATAAGCATGAGAGATATGATTCAGGCCTCATACAAATGAAGAATTTGAATTTGTACACCACAATTTATTTTGCATTTTAATGTCGCTTTCTACTATTAATTGCACTACTAGCTTCAGAACATTCCTTTCATGCAATACTTTCAGAATAACAAAGTTATGACAATGAAGTGTAAAAGATAAAAAAAAAGTCTTTCATTTATAGAAATTTTTTAAAAGGCTATGGAGTTTATAAGGAGATAGAAAGGACACATACCTCTTCTTAAATTATGTACTCCTTTTAAATGGACATATAAAAGAAATATTTATAATATTTACTTAAAATTGAGTCAAAAATACTATTTAAAAGTAACTTGGAAAAATACTGCAACCATAAATCAACCACAGATCATGAAGTGAGTGAAATAAAATATGATTATCAATAAAATCAATTGTATAATATGTTCCCACAGAAAATTCTGAGTCTTTTCTCACTTTGAAAATAATTGAAGCTATATTTTCTTTTAACACCCTACTATAAAACTAGCCAAAGACTATAAACGAATTAAAAATATTAAGAACTATAAAAGAAATCCACTGAAGGAAAAAACTGCTAAATTCTGGAAGAACACATTTTAAAAATGGAGTCATAATAAGGGAGTGCTGTCAGTGAAAATGCTAACATACAGCCTACATGGCATAAACCTGAGTTCATGCTGATTTTCCTCACCAAAACATAAATAGCATTTTCACTGTTATGCCCCAGAATAATAAGCAGCAGGACAATTCAAGAATAGAGAGAAAATAAATTGCATACATTTAAAAAATAATCATCAGCTTGAGCATGAAAATGTAAACAACAAATTTACATTACATGTATATTTTACAATCACCTCCTTTGAGAATGCTATTACATGTATATATTTTCTATTTGAGACATGAACTGGCAGAATATTAGGAAGGTCAGCTCACATAGTATAAATATTATCATTGTTCTCAGGAATTAGCAATATCATAATTTTGTAAGTGAGGTATGGGCCCAAGTAAAAATTCACCAAAAGCAAAATTGTCCAAAGGTAGAATAGAAGGAAAAAGGAATTATAATGTTGGTTTATAACTTCCTAGTTTTCCTTAGTGTTGATATATGTAGATATATTTTTCTAACCTCCACATCGTAAGAGCAAACCAAAATTGTCTCCAGGCTGATAGAGACAGGATTAAATATAAAGAGAACAATATATACAAGATGGTGTCTTACTTATGTTTTCCTGGCTGCAAAATATAAGAATAAAATTCATAAGTTACATGAAGGTAAAAACCATTCCATCATGTTCATTTGTATTCCCACTAACTAGCACTATACTAGATGTTGGGCTCAGAACTTAACATATACTTCTTAAGTAGATGATTGGAGTTAATTAGGTAAAACAATTTCTGAAGGAAAAATTTGAAAATACGTTTCAAGAATCCTAAAATTTTCCTTTGCCCTTTATATTGTAATTTTATTCCTAGAAAGTTATCCTGACAAAAGGATTTTGTCCTAACAAAAATATTCAAGATTTATATTCAAGAATTTCCACGTATCATTATTCATAATAAGTTAGAAATAAGCAAGATACCCTATTATAATGATTTAAGTTACAATGAAGTATTAAAATAGCCATTAAAACAATTTTAAGAGGAATTTTTAAAGACAGGAAAACATCCACAATGTTACTAAATGAAAAATCAGGATTCAAAATAGTATATATTTATTTTAGTTTTGTTTAAAAATTTATATGTATGTGAATGGTTATATTTCAGTGTCTGGATTATAGGTGATTTTTATGTTTTATTAATTTTTGGTACTTTCCAGATTTCCCACAATAAATATGTAGTATATTTATAACCAATATTTTTTATATATGCGGGTTGGGCATGTGTACAAGTGTGGACAATTTCAAAACATATGCAGCTAAAAGTTTTACTACTAATATCATAGTGGAACATAACCCCTCCAAGTCATAAGAAAAGGAGAAAACAATACATATTTTAAATTACAACATCACTTACAAACCTAAAGATTATAACTTTAAATGGTTATACAAAAATTCAGAAGTGAAACTTTTAAGTTTATATTTCCCCCAAATATTTAACAGTTTTACCTATTACCATATGATTTTTTAACCATGAAGAAAAAGAGCTGAATTTGAAATTTGTCTAAATCCCTGAACTGCGCTTCTCCTCCTCCCCTCCTAGTCCAATCCGTAATAAGATCTTGGGATTCAAATGAGATAATAAAGTGATACTTACTTATTACAGAAATCTAACTTCCACTCCTTCTTTACCAACTCAAGCAAACTATATGTACACATAGACACAAACACGGATACACAGACACGCGCGCACACGCGCGCGTGCACACACACACACACACACACACACACACACACACACAGATTTATTTATGGACTGGTACCATCCAGTCCCAAAAACATGATTTAAGAATGAACTATTGAAATGGATCCATAATAAGAAATAACATTTATTAACATTTTATAGGATGGTAGAATAAAATATACATTTGTAAAGATAAATGACAACATATGTGCTGTCAATATATGTAAGAGAATAAGTAGAAATATGCTACTTATTGCGTAGGCTCAAAAAAAGACCACTGGTCTCAAATGAAAAAATTCACTCTGTTTATCAAATAGATAGGAAAATAATAAAGAGAAAAAATTATTTTAGTGAAACATTTGCAATCTCCTAATAGCATCTGATATTCTTTTTTAAATGACATTTCTGTTATTGTCACCTTTATGTTCAAAATAGTTCTAAAAAGAAGACATGTCTAATGACTTTTTAAATAACTTAAAATAAACTTCTTTTCCTTTTTGCATATACTTCAGTACTATAACTCCTTTTAATTAATAAAAATACTTCATAAAAATCAAATACCCTTTCCCCTCAAAAAAANAAAAAAAAAAGGCTATTTTTTTGGTCTTAAAATATCAGCCTCAAATAGCTTAGTTTTTAACTGTAACATTTTTTAAATCCAAAATTCAATATCTAAATTTTGACAACCTAAATACCTTAATACTCATGAAATTTCAAGTTTAGTAATCGCCAACAATACTCGTAATATTAACCTGCATTTTTCTAATATATAACAATAAATTTAATTATGTTAATATTTTAAAATGGTTAAGTAAGGAAATGACAACAGAACAAATGAATAAAAAGTAAAGACATTTGTAAAGCTCCTCTGGTATCAACACAAAATAAAATGCATAAATGAACATTTAACTTTTATTTTAAAATGTTCAAATCAGAGATCACTTAATGTGCAAAGTTATCTGAAGTATTCAGCAATCTATTATATATTTCCCTATTTATTTCATTTTGTCTATTGACAAAAACATCAAGTACCATTATATTTCATAGCAATATTCAACTCCAATGAATACTATGAGCTTATACCAAATAACCTTAAAGTTGAAAAGCATTGAAGAATACATAAATATTTATTTTTATCTGAAATGCCATCTTTATATAATGCAACATTTTTATTTCTCTTAAAAATCTATGACAATTTATAGTCATCTTAAGGTACAGAGCAAAAATTATGAGCTTGAATTTTGGTATAATTACTAAGGTTAAAAAGGGTCTACATATCTTCACAAAATCTTTTATTAAATTCCAGAAAATCTAAACTCTACAAAACGAAGCAGTATGATAAATAATCAAAATTAGATTTCAAAAATTAAAATTTTAAGAATGAGAAAGTTTGAGGTTAAAAGCACAATTATGTTCTAGGAATAACTTGGTTTGTAAAAAACTAGCATCGTATTTTAAAAAACACTATTTGATATTCCAAAAAGAAAAATAAATGTAATGACTACATACTGAAAGTTGTCCTGATAGGAACTGTGGAACATCCCGCAACATTCCAGGACTCATAGGAGAGGTAACAGAAATAGAAGGACGATCCATTTTTTGAGACTCAAAGGAGCTAGAACCTGAAACGATAATTATACACAACAAATAATAACAATGGCTCTTCACAAGTACTTAGTAAATTTTGCCACATATCTTTTAAATTATTTTTTGATATCCATAAAATGTCATTATAAAATATAAAATAGACCATTTTCTTAGACACAACATTCCAAATATTCTTAAAGGGTTTTTTTGGAAGCAAGAGTACAGTACAGGGATTCTCTTAAGACCAACAGTGAACCATTTTTTGTGCCAATTATAGTAGAGACAGACCTCAGACCTCTATCTCAGGACTTAGTTACTGTCTGTTAGGTGTACTATATTCACATTTTACAATAACATAGTAAGGAAATTTTAAAAATAGAAACAAGAAGTAATCAAAACATAAATCAATAAAGCAACTGGAAGACAGACTACATCTGCAAATGCTAAAAATTAAGTCCAAAATTATTAATTTTTTAAAACAATGTCAGGAAGAATATAACAAATTAAACTGGCATAAAGAAGCGAGGGAAATGAAAAAGGAAATAAAATATTAAATATTTACTGTCACTATTTTGATTCTTGTGGTCAAGAATATTCCCTGTATGTCTGTTGTGTTACCCAGACAAAATATTGCTGACATTCACTGGGATTCAGAACACTGGGGAAGACCTGTGTTTAGGGGAACAGATGTATAAGAACTTAATTTGGAACACAGTGAACCTACAACATCTCCGAGACATCCAAAGGGAGATGTAAAGCAGCTAAGTGGAAGTACAAATGGGAACAAATGTAAAAGTAGAGACTAGCGTTGGAAACTAACCTGCAGAGTTGTATGTCTAATTGGAAATAAAAGTGGATAAAACTCACCTCTAGAGAGAGTACAGAGTAAAATGAAGGGTAAATTGCAAGCCTTGGGATTTGAAGTAACAATGAAACCTTTTATATTACCAGCAAGTAGAAAGAATGAAGCCTTTCTAGTAAGAAATAAGCTGGGGTTTTTTGTTTTGTTTTGTTTTTACAATAAAGGTTGTTAAGCTTCAGGTAGCAGGAAGACAGAACAGAATGTATATATTCTTTGACCATCCAGGCAGGTAGGGACAATGATAGCTCCTTTGATAATGTAAACTTAGAAGTCAAACAGCTGGCAATTACAACCATAGGAAGAAAAGAATTTATTGAGGGACCAGAAAGGTTAAGGACAGGGACTTGGAAAAACATCAATGTTTAAACAATAAAATACTGGATCTAATTTGAGAAAGGACCCCTGTCTCCTCAGAAGTAATTCTGTAATTATAGCCTAGAGACTTATTTAGTAGCTAAAATAAGATAAATGTTTCCATGTTGTTCACACAGTATCTGAGAAATGTAATAAAGGTAAATACAAATTTTAACCTACCCCATAGGATTGTTGTAAAGATTAAATGTGATAGTATAGGTACAACATCAAGCACAGTTGCAAATACTAAATAAAATGGGAACAATAAGGATAATGATGATAATATCATTTTATAATATAATTTTATTATTTATTTATGTTACAGTTTTATGTGATCATGATATTATTTTGGATAGTCATTCAGCACTTAGTCAAAGATACTAAATCAACCATATTTTGAAGTATAGAGCTATGGCATTCAAAGGACTACTCTGACGAAGACTTCAAAGAAACTTGTAATTGCAAATATGAAAGTAAAAAACATCTATTTTAACAGTATATTCCCAATTATTGTGGTATACAGAGAATCTGACAATCCTTATTGCTATTACCATGGTTTAAGTCACCACTGTCTTGCCACCAGATTAACCTTCACACTAGTTCTCTTTGCTTTTACCTTGACTCTATTTAAGCTATTTGCAACCTAGTAGTCATTTTTAAAACTAAATATCTCCTAAAAACCATCCTAGACAGCTCCCAATTTTCCTGAAAAATAAAACCCAAAGTCCTTACAGTGGTTTATATAATATATGTAATTTGCCCATTATTCTTCTATCCTCATTCATACCATTCTTTCCCTTGCTCATTCCATTCAGCTACACTGCCTTACTTGAATTTGCTTAAATGCAACTTAGGCCTTCTTGCCTTAAAGCCATTATATCCGCCTATCCTGTACCTTGTAAGATTTCCTCCCTAGGCAGCCACTCCAAATTTTCCCTCCAATCCTTCTGTCTCAGTATGGTCTATCCTGATCAACATATTTCAAACTGAAACCCTTTTCTTCCTCTCTCCTAATATCCCTTACCGTACCCTCAATCAATCAAGAAACTTAGTTCATTGGAAAAATTAATTTAACATTTGAAATAGCACTTAAAATAATTTTTGAAATTATAGATAAATTTGACACTGAACTTATGTATTTATTGTTCCATTACTGCTCTGATGTTAAATCAGAACTATTATCTCACTTTCCAAAAATATAAATTAAAATATACATAATTATTCACTAGTTTATTCCAAACATTTCTCCCCACTTAATGGGGATGAGGTTACAAATAGTAAATTTTAAAACTGGGGGAAGTTTTGGGAATGAATTTTTGGGAGTAGTGGGTAAGTTCATGATTTTTTGTTGGGATGATGGTTTCACAGATACATATGTATGTTGAAACTTTACTAATTGTGTTCTTTAAGTATCTGCAGTTTATTATAGTATACATTAATAATGCTATGTAAAAATCTGTAATAAGACAATCTGGTTAAAAACAACTTAAAATAGTCTACGTTTTTGTACTTTTTCCCACAGTGACATGAAATAATACTAAATTTTCCATCTTTATATGCTTATATACTTGATAACAAGGTTATCATATTTCTTACTTGACATTACTAGATAAATAATTCGTCTGACCTCTGATGAATGCAATTATAAATCACATTTTCTTCTAGAATAAATAAAACTTACTGGACTCCAGTTGTGCATATGTGCTATCAGGTATTCTAGGTATATCTCTGAAATGATAAAAAAAGAAAGCAAGAAACTGTTTCAACAATTAATGTAACTCATATTTTTAGCTTATCAAACTATTAATAGGACAGTGTAAATGAAGAAAACTGTGTATAATAGTGGCAGTATATAAATATGAAACAAGCCTTAGTATTTATCACTAATAAATTATTCTGGGCTAGACCCAACTATTGAAAAGGAATTAAAATTCATATGCATTCATAGAATACTTACAAAAAACAGACTTTATTTTCTATGTGCTTCACTATACAATTATCCGTTAGAAAAAATTTGTATTCAAAAAGATAAGTTTTAATGATACATTTTTTTTTTTTTTTTGAGACGGAGTTTCACTGTTGTTACCCAGACCGGAGTGCAATGGCATGATCTCGGCCGACCACAACTTCCGACTCCTGGGTTCAAGCAATTCTCCTGCCTCAGCCTCCCGAGTAGCTGGGACTACAGGCGCACACCACTATCCCCAGCTAATTTTTGTATTTTTAGTAGAGACAGGGTTTCACTTTGTTGACCAGGATGGTCTCGATCTCTTGACCTCATGATCCACCCGCCTCGGCCTCCCAAAGTGCTGGGATTATAGGAGTAAACCACCACGCCTGGCCCTTTAAAGATACATTTTTATTCGATTCTGCTCTTTGCTTTTACACGCTGTTCTAAATAAGTAACATTAAAGTGCAAATAAAATATCACCAAAATAAAAATTAAAATATTTGGATTGTGATTGATAGTTTTATTATATTTTTTTTATTTTTTCAAGACTGAGTCTTGCTCTGTCACCCAGGCTGGAGTGCAGGGGCACGATCTCACCTCACTGCAACCTCCACTTTCTGGATTCAAGCGATTGTCCTGACTCAGCCTCCCAAGAAGCTGGGACTACAGGCACTTGTCACCACACCGACTAATTTTTATATTTTTAGTAGACACGGGGTTTAGCCATGTTGGCCAGAATGGTCTTGAACTCCTGACCTCAAGTGATCTGCCCACCTTGCCCTCCCAAAGTGCTGAGATTACAGGTGTGATCCACCAGAAACTTTTAAAATGTAGTACTATCATTGAGAAAGAGGCAAACATGTTTCAACAGGGAATCTCAACATTACCTTGGAACTGTATTTACACCAAAAATAAGTGTATATTTTTATTTGAGATTTGACACAAGGGGTAAATATTAATGGTTACAGTCATTCAGTAAATTACATAAAGGATTATAAATTCTTTAATATATTAAACAAAAATATGACTTGACGATTCTTTAATACCAGGAAATATATTTGATTAATACACTAATCTTATACACTGCAGTTTTACCATAATACAAAACTGTGAAAAGACAAAATAAAAAAGAATACAACTTCAAGTGCAGATTTAATACTTTAAAAGGAACATTTCCATAAAACTAAGCCACCAACCTAAGTCGTTTTTTCAGCATTTTTTAAAAAAGAGATAAAAATAATATAGGCCCATCATTTTCTAAATGAATTAAAACTGGACATTACTATTGCTACAATAAAGGAATCTGTTGGCTCCACCCTAGAATGCTCTTGCCCCAAATCTGCATTTAATAATTCATTATCAGTAATATTTTTCTGTTGCTTTTACTCTGATATAGGTATATATCTTACCTTGGCATATAATATAATTCAGTTACCTCTTTAATATTTATTGCCAATGTTTGGTAATTGTCAATTTTAATCTACAGACATTATATTTAATGCATAGGCATTATAAAACAGAGGTACAAATTACAAAGCTAAAGAGTACTTTGGTGTTTGCTTATTTTTGGTCTATTTGTCCACCCTGCTAAAAAAGATATCACATTTTTCCATAAACTGTTACCTCTATCTATAAACTATTACTAGGAATTGCATTTCCTTTGGCTTTTTCTTTTTGATGTTGAAATCTACATTTTGAAAAATGTAAAATTTATAGAATATAGTTGATTTACAGTCTTCTTCCCCACTAAATTGTATAACCACCTTCTAAGGTGTTACAACAATAAAATGAATAAACACCTAAATATTTCTTCTTCTTTTGTAACTAACTGTATATTCTACCGTCTATATTATCAGATAGAGAGATATCACGATTTTTGGTGAGGTACTTTTGCTAAGGAAAGATAAAGAGTTACTGTCTATAAAATAATTTATTTCCATAAAGCAATCAGAAATTATTAGATGGCACATTACAAATTGTTTAACAGTATTCAACTTCACACACATATAAAATACTGAAACCAACTTACCCAATAGGCCTTGAAACTACAAGCTCCACTTGTGGTTCAGGTTTGGATTCCAGAATGATGTTATATACTTCCTCAAATGTGGCTCCTTGCAATAGCCTTCCATTCCATTCTAACACTTCATCACCTATAGTGTGTGTCAGTAATAATAATCTTATAAAGAAAATTTGATCCCATAAAATACACTTAACAGCAATCTTAAACTTCAATAAACTCCATAGGATAAAATAACCATTATACAATATGAAACATACTGAGAACAGTTTCAGTGACACAAAATTTGATGACCAGGGTGATAGCATATTTCACAGAAAAGGCCAATGGTTAGAGGAAAAAAATTACATAAATATTATTTCTGTATAATTTCTTAATAGAAATTCTAATTCTAAGCAACTATCAAAATCAGTTGCCTCTTTAAAGATTTTATGACTCTGTACTATAGGTTTCCCAATATATGTACAACTGAGCACCTTGTTTTCCACTGTCTAAACTCTCTTGTAAAAACCTTAATAATTAGCATCTTATCAAATCTTCTTAAGGTACTCAAGGATTTCTCCAATAGTATCCATTACCAAATAGATAAGAGTAACACATGGTAGAAAATATGCATTTATCCATAAAGTTTGTTCTAAACTATGTTGGAATTTTCTCAAAAGGAAAAGGTCTTATGGGAAACAAAATGGTTAATATTAAATACAGATTAGAATACCCATTAGAAAAAAATAAGGCAAAGTAAATACAAAAATAATTTTATCTACTATGACTCAAGAAATAATAGTTATGACTTTCCATTAATGAATAGAGACATATTTAAGTAAAATGAACTATCTGTTATTGTCAAATCACTTCTAAATAAATGAAAGTAACTCATAACTACTCAAATTGAATGGTGTAAATGTACAATCAAAGGTAAAACTCTACCTGGTCTAAGATGTCCTACAGTATCAGCTAAACTTCCTTTTTTTACTTTAGTAATAAATGCACAAAGCCGACCTGATTCAGTCATCTTTCCTCCTACGACCTGTATAAAAGAGGAAAGTATTAAGATGGGAATATTGTTAAAATAAGCATAGTTGAAGATTCAGGTAAAAAAATACCTAGAACAATTTACCACACCTAAAACACTAATTTAATGTACAGAAATGATTTCTTAAATAATTTATTGTCTCTATTAGGTTAGTATGTGCCCTGAGAGCTAAGTCTTTTTCACATATTTAAACTGTTTTGCCATTTAATCCATTATTTGCTGAAATGTTGCATAACTTAGAAACAACATAACAATTGATAATTTTCTACCTTATTTCAGAATTCTTGCTTTTGTCATTTCCGAAAACATATTTTACAGTATCATATTAATTATATAAACATATCTAGTTACAGATGTAAATATTTTAATACAAAATTTTGGTTTATTTTACTATAATTAAGATATACCACCAAATTTTCATTAGTAATCTTTTAGGAACATTGATAATGTGCATAATGATTGTGGATCTTTCTTGAGAAAAATTACAAAATTTACTTAGTTGCATCAGGAGTAATATAAACTTCAGACCATCTGCATCCCAATTTTTCATTTTCATGTTTCTATTAAAATATATCTTTTAGAAAACAACAATGTTAGGAATAATGCTGTGGAGTCATATGTATACTTGTAAGATATTAGCATCTTACAAAATTAATGCTTTGATTCTAATCAACTGCTATTCAGACAATATCTCAACTTCATGGCAAGTGAAGCAAATAATAGCGACCAACTTCACTGACTGAAGTTAATTGTTTGTTCTCTTCTAAATGGTGAAAGTTATTTGAATTCAAAAATCATGGGGTGTATCTTATTCCCTGCATTTTTTCCCATAATTACAGTGAATTACACATAGCTGCGATTCAGCTGATAAACTAATTAGTCCTTCGTTTGATTCTGAAAATTAAATGTATAGCTCTTAAGTGCTTATATCCTTATGTAAATATTTAAAAACTTTCTTGGCTTAACAAACATTAATAATAATTAATTAATTATACTGGCTATAATGGTTATTGATATTTAAAGCTTGCCAGGCACTGTACTAAATGTTTGCATGTTGATTTATTTAATCATATTACCACAATTCAATTATCCTCATTGAACAGATAAGAAATCTAAAGCTAAAGAAGTTTATTTGTCCAGTTTCCTATAACTAGTAACTCCTGTATTTGGAATTAAAGCCAAGACTTCCTAACCTTTATTCTAACACTATAATAGGCATATCTAGATTAAAAATTTTTTTAAGACGAAGGCTCTCACTATATTGCTCAGGCTGGACTTGAACCTCTGGGCTCAAACAATCCTCCTGCCTTAGCTTTTGAAGTAGCTGGAACTATAGGTACGTGCCACTGTCCCTGGAAATGGCCAAATCTGAATTAAATCCCACCATCATCACCATCTTGTGACCACGAGGAAGTTACAACACCTCTCTAAGCCTATTTCTCGTCTATTGTGAGTGTTAACTAAGAAAACAGATATAAAATGCTCAGGTGAGTGCAAGCCACGTGGATGCCACCCAATAAATGTTAGTAGTCTGATATAGTTTGGATGTTTGTCCCTGTGCAAATCTCACGTTGAACTGTAATCTCCAATGCTGGAGGTGGGTCCTGAGGGCAGGTGTTTGGATCATGGGGCAGATTCCTCATGGCTTGGTGCTGTCTTGTGATAGTTCTTGCAAGATCTGATCATTTAAAAGTATGTGGCACCTTGCTTCCCACTCTCACTCTCTCTTGCTCCTGCTTTTGCCATGTGATATGAGTACTCTCCCTCTACCTTTGACCATAATTGTAAGCTTCCTAAGGCCTCCCCAGAAGCCAAGCAGATATTGGCACCATGCTTCCTATAAAGCCTTGGAAATTATGAGCTGATTGAACCTCTTTTCTTTATAAATTATCCAGTATCAGATATACCTCTATAGCACTCTAAAAATAACCTAATACATGGCCCAATTCCACCTACATCCAAAGTTTCCTAATATCTCTTACTATATTCTACAAGACAATGTTTATAGCAATAGCTTAGCTCTAAAACATTTACTTTTCTTACAGAGAGACAGGGTCTCACTCTGTTGCCCAGGCTGAAGTGCAGTGGTGTGATCATAGCCCACTGTAACCTTGAACTCCTGGGCTTAAGCAATCCTCCTTCCTTAGCCTCCTCAGTAGCTAGGACTCCAGGCATGTGCTGCTATACCCAGCTAATTTAAAAATTTCTGGTAGAGACAGGGTTTCACTATGCTGTCTAGAATGGTCTCAAACTCCTGGTCTAAAGTGATTTTCCCACCTGGGCCTTCCAAAGTTTTGGGATTACAGGCATGAGTCATGGCACCTGACACACTCTTTTTTCTTTTCGTTTTCTTTCTTTGTTTTTTTGGCTTTTTTTTGGATGGAGTCTTACTCTATTGCCCAGACTGGAGTGCAGTGGTGTGATCTTGGCACACTGCAACCTCTGCCTTCCAGGTTCAAGCAATTCTCTGCCTCAGCCTCCCGAGTAGCTGGGATTACAGGCGCCCATCATGTTGCTCAGCTAATTTTTTGTATTTTTTTAGTAGAGAAGGGGTTTTACCAGCTTGGCAAGGCTGGTCTTGAACTCCTGACCTCGTGATCCACCCACCTCAGCCTCCCAAAATGCTGGGATTACAGGCGTGAGCCACCACGCCCAGCCTCTTTTTACATTTCAGGTTTTAATTGGTTATACTAGATTCACAAAAACCAAACAAAGCTCTATTTAATGTATTTACCAAATAATTTTCTGGTATTTTACAGTAAAACATAAATCAATATTTGCATTTAATCTCCCAACATAATTATTTTTGTTTTTAGACTTCAAACAGTGTTCTCTCTTAAGTGCACATATGCACATACACACATACACATATTTTACTGTATATATACAAAGTTATATACATATATTCATCTGTGATATACATAGTACATTTCCCAAGTTTTTGAGTAATTATAAAAACACTATCACTTTAATAAAATATAAACATAGATTTAGACTTAAAAAATAAGCTGTATAGTTAAAATACATTTGACTACTGTATTTCAAATTCAAATTGATCCTAATGAGGTTACGTTTAATGTCTTCAAATTTATATATACAAGTATTACTGTGGAATTATGGCAACTTCTTAAATAATAGCGGGAAAATGAAATGCTTCGTATAATGAGTGCAAATCTTCTCAAATTACTGAAAATAGAAAAATGTGCTACTAAATTGGTACAGGTTGAAAGAGTTATCCTTTGCTTTTCTGATAAATCTGTAACAGAGTATAGAACCAAAATCTCATATATTTTATTACATACCTTCAAGCCAAGCATTGCTCCTGAATCTCGAGGTACACTTCCATCTTTTAGACGCTTATTTAATAAAATGCGACCAATTAAACGATCTCCATCTTTAGATGGCTGCCAGGTTACAGGGTGCTGACATTTTGCATCAACAAACAAAATAAGTAAATGATTTTATTTATCACTTTATGACAAATGATCTCTGCTTGTACAACCTCTCTAAACTTCAGAATTCCAGTATTATGATTACACAAACCAGCTTTCATCGTAAGGATGTACTACATTATGCTTATAACCTCAATATAATCTCAAGGTTTTTTTTTTCAAAATCCAATTACTTCCAATTCTTACAGTTCTCTGACACAATGCTTAAGTTACATAGCTCTACAAAATCTGAGAAATTTTGAAAATACATGTGACTCTAATTATCTACATGCCGAAAAATAAAAAAGCACAGGCAGAAAAGATACAGTGAAAGTCTACGCAAGTGAATTCATTTAAAAATGAAAATTTCCTCTCCAAACACTTTTGGAAGATTTTGAAAACCTGCATTATGTAAAAATTAAAAAGTCAAATCATATTAAAACATTAAATTGGAACACATGATGAGGGCATTTTTGAGTAGGTTTCTAGATTAAAATAGAAAAAGGTACACAAGCCCCCAAAAATTTCCCAAATGAATCTGCATGGGAGAAAAAGACTTCATTTACAGATGAGAATAGACTACATTTCTAACTTTTCAGAGGTTCTTACATGACTCTTTCAGGTCTTTGATCTATTTAGTAAATTATCTTTACTAGATAATTCAGTGATATTCATCGTTAAATAACCTTGAAAACATGAGTAGTTTACTTCTTTTTCAGGGCTGAACCAAGGCCTCTGTAAATAATAACATTATTCTATTATGAATGATATGCTAAATAGGAAAGTAAATGATTTGTGTAATCATAGCTTCACAGTTATCAAAAAGTAACAGGCATATCTTCATGCAAAATTTCGCAGGCAAAACACAAGTTCCAGTCAATCACATCTATATGGTAAAAAGATTTCAGAAGCCCCACTATCCTAAAAGCAAAAATAATAAATATCAAAGCAGATGGCAAGGGCTCTACTACTAATTAACACTACATTAAAATGCTATGACAATAAAACAAAAGACCAAAATGACAGTGAAAGGGAAAAAAGAAAAACAACTTTTTCTGTGCAAACAGACCCAATTATCTCCCTTTTGCCTGGGATTCAAACTATTGATAATTTAATTTTCATCCCAAGGAAAATATATGCAAGCAATCAAATAAGCCAATCCAAAAATTATTTATTATTTGTGGTTTTTAATAACATTACAAAGTTCTCTCACGTGACAAAAGACAAAAACATTCCTTTGTTCCTAAGTTTTATTTTCATATACTTATTTTTTGGTATGCTGTCAAACAATAAAAACAGCAAAGCAAGCAAGAGATTTTTTTGGTTTGTTTGTTTTGTTTTGTGTTGTTTTGTTTTTCTTTTCTGCACCTTAAGAAATGCTACAGTGACCCTTGAGATGCCCTGTCCTTTTATTATGTTCTGTTTTAATGAGTGACAGAGAGCAAACGAAGACCAAATGAGCAGGTTAAAAGGCAGGCTCCACAATCTCAGTACCTTATCACTATGGCTATGCTCCTCGTTAAGGGTTGTGCTACTACACGTATCTACCCCAGAGTCCTTAATCTGAGGCTCAGACCATTCCAAATCCTCTTCCAAAGAGTGGCCACCAAAGTACATCATTTTCTTTTGTCTCTCAGACCTGGTGTTAGAGTCCGACAAAACTGCCTGCTCACTAGTTTTTCTTTTTCCCTTTTGACTGTCCCCTACAGGTGTGGGATAAAAAAAAAAAAAAGATACAAAAAAGAAACATGCAAAGGTGTAAATAAAAAAAGGAAAAGTGAAATGATAACGAAAGTTAAATAGTAAGGCTCCACATGTCTCACCAAAGACATTGGGGATGCCTCACTGCTATGCCAAGACGTATGGTCCAACCAGTTGTAATCCATGTCTCCTGTGAGAGTCAGACAAAAGAGCGCAATAAAGGAGATGGTGAAAAAAGGGACAGACAGAGACATTATAAACATTTTAAACTGTGTGATCCTGTCTGGTCTCAAGAACTTTGTCTGTAGCACTCATTTTATATATATATATATATATATATATATATATATATATACATATATATATATATATACA